GTTCAATGATAATAATTGTAACTGTGCGTTTGAGGCCAGTTCCTTGATTTTGAATGAGAGAGAATAAATATTTACTGAGAATACATGCATACATATAAAGTAGATGTATGAAGAGTGAAGAGATTCTACTTCCTATGTGACTGGTTACTTTCTGAACACATGGTGTCTTTTTCAACAAGAAGCTGAATTCAATACCCTGCGTATTGTGACAAAAGCTTCAAAATTTGCTGTCTTAAAGTCAGTAAATCAGTGATGAATGAATTTAGAGCACATAGGCATGAAAACTTCACCCTCAGATTCAACTGAATATGGCCTCAAAACTGAGTTATTGGAGTTTAAGAAACTCATTTTGCTCCCTTATAGAGCTGCAACTCAACTGAGAAAAATAAAAATCCCATTCCCGGCTCTCGTAGAAAAGTGAACTCTGATTTTTAATCATTTTAGAGTGGAAATTGAAGTATGATGCTCTAAAGAAACATGAAAATTCTATTCCAGGTTCACCTAAAGTTGAAATTGAGCTATAAAAGGATCAAATTCCGATTTCCATCTAATTTGGTGATTAATATAATTAGTCTTTAGAGGATGAAGTAATTTCTGTTGAAGAATCTACTGTAGCTCCAAAAGTCTTCTTTGAAAATAAATGAAGAGAAGAGTGCTAAAGTGAAACCACCTAAAGAAAATAGTATGTATGTTTCTGGACCAACTCATGAAGAATATATATCACACAGTGATGCCAGGTCTGGTGAAATTTCACCAGATCTGGTGATTTTATGAAAAATCTGATGATTGGTGATTTGGTGAAAAACTTTTTGAAAAATGGCAATTTCTGGTGATTTTAAAATTTCATCTTTGTTTGGCCAGTGGCGTTGCTTATGGGGGGTTTCAGTCAAACCAAACGAAAACTCGAAATTTTTATTTTTCATGGATTCAGCAGGTTTAAATTAGTCGAAAAAAATTCTAACATCACTTTCAAAATGGCGATTTCGAAAAGCTAAAAAATATCAATTTTCGTTCTGGAAATTTTTTCAAATCTTGACAAAATTAGGAATAATGGCCAATATCTTTAAAGAAATTTGAACAAATCAAAACAAATTATAAATGGTTGGAAAGAGCATTAAATTCTCTATAAATCCATGCTAAATTAGTTCTGATAACTCGAATACTTTCTGGGCAATTGGATCTCAAAGTTTTAGTCCAAATTTTATCAAAAATTTCAAACTCGATTTTTTCGAAAACCATAAGAGCTAGCGATTTTAACTAAATACCATTTTAAAACCCTTGTCAAGAGTTACATTTCCTGCAAATTTTAATTCAAAATCTTTAATAGATTTTAAGATATCTAAGATCAAATATTTTTAAATAAAAATCTAAAGGGGTAACCCTTTGAAAAATTCGAAATTTTTATTGTTCATATTTATTGAATTCTGACTTTTCCAATCGATAGAGCGGGTCTAAATTAGTCGAAAAAAACTCTAACATCATTACAGAATCTTGATTTCAACACAGAGAAAAATTAAAAAGGAAATCTCAATCTTTAGGTTTAAATTTTTTTTTTTGAATCATGACAAGGTTAGGAGCAATTGCGGAAATCAAAATAAATTATATATGGTTGGAAAGAGCATCAAATTCTCTATAAATCAGTGCTAGATTGAGTTTGATGACTCAAATACTTTTAGAGCAATTGAGCCTCAAAGTTGAATTTTAGTTGAAATTTGGTCAAAAATTTCAAAACTCGATTTTCTCAAAAACCGTAAATGCCAGCGACTTCAACTAAGTACCATTTTGAAGCCCCCTTCAATGGCTACAATCTCGAAAAAAACTGATCCAAAATCTTTGACGGGTTTCGAGAAAATTGAGTTTGAAAATTTTGAAATTAAAATCCAAAGGGGTTTAACCCTTTGAAAAAATCGAAATTTTTATTTTTCAGATTTTTTGAATTTTGACTTTCCCAATCGATAGAGCGGATTTAAATTAATCGAAAAAAACTCTAACATCATTTCCAAATCTCGATTTCAAAAGGGAAAAAAAATCAAAAAGAAAATCTCAATTTTCAGGTTTAATTTTTTTTTTAAATCCTAACAAAGTTAAAAGCAATTGCCAATATTTCCATTAAAATTTGAGCAAATCAAAACAAGTTATACATTTTTGGAAAGAGCATTGAATTTTCTATAAATCAATGCAAGATTGACCTCCATAGCTCAAATACTTTCCGAGCAATTAGACCTCAAAGTTGAATTTTAGTTGAAAAAGTATCAAAAACTTGAAACTAAATTTTTTCAAAAACCGTAAATGCCAACAACTTCAACTAAGAACCACTTTAAAGCCCTCATCAAGGGCTACAATCTCAAAAAAAATTGATCCAAAATCTTTGACGGGTTTCGAGAAAATTGAGTTTGAACATTTTGAAAAAAAAAATTCAAAGGGGTACCTTTTGGAAAAAAAATTAAAAAACTCAAAATTTTCATTTTTCAGATTTTTGCAATTTTCACTTTTTCAATCGATAGAGAGAGTTCAAATTAGTCGAAAAAAACTCTAACATCATTACAAAATCTTGATTTCAATACAGAGAAAAATTAAAAAGAAAATCTCAATTTTAAGGTATAAATTTTTTTGAATCACATCAAGGTTAGGAGCAATTGCCAATACCTCCATTAGAATTTGCGCAAATCAAAATAAATTATATATGGTTGGAAAGAGCATTAAATTCTCTATAAATCAGTGCCAGATTGAGTTCCATAACTCAAATACTTTTCGCACAATTAAGCCTCAAATTTGTTTTACTCGAAATTTAGTCAAAAACTTCAAGCTCGATTTTTTTAAAATCAGATTTTTTGAATTTTGACTTTTCAATCGATAGAGCGAATCTAAATTAGTCGACAGAAACTCTAATTTCATTTCCAAATTTCGATTTCAAAAGAGAAAAAAAATCAAAAAGAAAATCTCAATTTTCAGATCTAATTTTTTTAAAAATCCTGACAAGGTTAGGAGCAATTGCCAATACTTCCATTAAATTTTGAGCAAATCAAAACAAATTACATATGGTTGGAAAGAGCATTAAATTCTCTATAAATCAGTGCTAGATTAAGTTTGATAACGCAAATAATTTTTGGAGCAATTTAGCCTCAAAGTTGGATTTTAGTTAAAATTTAGTCAAAAACGTCAAACTCGATTTTTTCAAAAACCGTAAATGCCAACGAGTTCAATTTGAAGCCCTTTTCAAATAAAAAAAATACATTTTTTCGTTTACAACTCGTAATATAACCTGAAAAATCAACTGGTGAATTCAATTTTTTTGACCTGGCAACAGTGATATCACAGTACTTTTAGGAGAAAATTTAAGATGTGTAAAGCATATTCCATTACAGTCTTCAAAGACTTTTGACGATTTTGCTGCAAATACTGTGGAGTATCGTAGATTGATATATAGAACCTGCTACTGAGAATATTAACGAGGACTGGAAGCGTTAAAAGTATCATCGGTGCTGTTTTTAAGTATCTAGAAACAAAAACTCCCATTGAAGGAGCTACAATGTTTCAGTCCAAGTGTCCTTAGCAGTAAACCCTGAGAATGCCAAGGTCGAAACGTCCATATAGGGGAATTTTCGGTGGGAAAAATCAGATCATGAAATCGAAGATAAAACTTAATATGATGAAGGAGGAACAGAAGAGGAAAATAAAGAAATTAGAAGGAGGTTATGCATTAAAAGTTCTTACCGAGAAGAAGGATGAGAACAAGGAACGAGAACTTATTTTTCAACAACAATACATTCAAAAACGGTTATTCCTACCGCGCAGCTTTTTGTAGAACAAAAAGTTTCCAGAGATTCCAATAATTATTCTTGCAAAATAAAGCTTTCTATATCAAAGAAATGTTATGTGTTCAACGTCAAACATTTTTTCCCTATAACTTCTCAAGGCAAGAAAATGCAAATCTAAGCTTTTACAATTTCACCCTGTAGATAACTAAAAATGTTATGCGACTTGAAAGTAATTATTATTCAAGACTCCGTCTTATATAAGCCACTAAGTATGTGCATTATTGATTAATAAATCGATATTTAAAATATAATAAAATCGAAAACCGGTGGTCGGAAAGTGAAAATAAAAATAAATTGACTGAGAATAGTCATGGGGGGGTTGCGTAAGACAAAAATTACTTTACCTTGCGCGAAAGCTTTTAACATTTTTTCCATTGAATTGATCAATAACTTATTGATTTGTATGTTTTACCATTTAGTTGATGCGTCAATACATGGAATCTTTACTTTTACTTCTTTGGTTATAAATGGAACGGTTCACGGTAACCAACCGAAAAATCGAAAAAATTAGCAGACTGTAATCGATTTTTTAATGCTTCAACTGTACTTACTATAACGGCTATGGTTATTTCGGTTTAAAAACATGTGGTTAACCATTATTCAAAAAATAAGTAGGTATACACTATGGTAGGTGTTAAAAGAAGAAAAATTATTTGGTCATAACATTCTCTCCATTTGAGCTAAAATTTCCTAATTCATCATATTATTGGAAATGGAAAATGAGGCCGGGCAAAAAAGATTTTGCAAGTCTACATTGCATTATATGAACTTCAAATAACTCTTGTACAAATGCAAATATTTTCAATGTTGCCTTTGAGATTGGGGTAAGTATAACCCCAAATGTTAATTTAGATAATTTTATTGGTTGTTCCTTGCAGGAAATTGTTTTCAAATTCTAAACTTTCTATAAAAACATATAATAGTAATTCGCGTCTAGACATTTCCTTTTAATGAGCAATACATTTTTTAAATAACTGTAGCTCCAAACGAAGAAATCACCCTGTGCGCGTTTACATAACGCAAATCGCTATACCATTTCTGAGCACATTTAATCTCCATTCACTGAAACCTTGAAAGAATTGCAAAGTAAAGTATCTCGATGACCATGGGCGCCGATAAAATGCAACTGCACCTTGTACACTGATCTAATTAGTTGACAATATATTTAAAACGAAAACTTACCTTGAACGCTTTCCACAATTAAAAATAATGCCAAAAAGACCGCAGTCCACCTCCTGGGTTGTAACATTTTCCTTTTTTTTTAAAAAAATATCCAAAATTCAAAAAAATCCACACTAAATTCACTTATTTTGAATGCATTATCCACAACACATTCGATACTGGATATCGTTCCAGTATCGATAAAAAAAATCCTTATCGATAAACGCGTTCTATTATGAAGAAGTATCGAAAGTGTGTCACGACAGACGCTACTTCTTGCAGTAGTAAGCGGCAGAAGGAAAAAAAAAAGACTGTATGTAGTGTGTGTTCAGTGAATAACCGTCGAGAGCCGACTGAAAATTGTGTTGGTAAAATGTCTTCGGCGTTTGCAAAAGAATTGTTAACAACCCAGTCACCTGTTTGGCATAGCCAGAAGGTAGAAAGCTGGTCTTAGGCATTAAGAGATGGTTTTGTAGAGAGGTTGGTATACGAAAAATACCTCACTTGTTGTTTGCGAGTATGTTATAGTGCAATTCTTGGGCGGATTATTGCATTCTTGCGAAAATCGTTTTATTATTACATTTATAATTGTACGAAATACATTTTCCTAATTACATTTTTCTTGAATTTCCCACCATCAATATGCTATGAAAGTATGAATGTATGCATCAGTATTTTGATACCGGTATGAATTTTACTTGAAGGTATTAGTGCAGTATTTGATGGACATCTCTTAAATATTTCCAACAACGTATCCTTCGAATATTCCTTATTCCAGGATATCTATTAACTACAGACAATGAGTAGATTTCCAGACAGCACAGAGGCTCTTCAATTATTTATTTCTTTCAAACGAAAACCTACATAAAATTCATTTTGAGAGCGAGATTAAGTAAAAAACAACTCAAGAGCCTGAAACCTATTGAAGCTCCAAAGTGTTCTAATTTGGTTCAAAAGAGTTCTAGAAGGTTTCCAGTTCTAAATTGAATCCTAATTATTTTAAAATAACTCTGAAGTTTCTCAATTGTTCCAAAATGCTCATGAAAATTCTGATCTAGATTTGAACTATTTTGAATGCTCATTAAAAGTCTAAAGTTCTACAGCAATCTAAATTCGCTATTAAAAGCCTGTTGAAAGGCATTTTTAACCTGAATCCTAAAATTTTGGCACTTTTAAAAATGTTTCTGGAAATTCTAGTGTGTTTGAGTGTTGAGCGTCCTAAAATAGGTTTCGGTCTTAAGTGTTCTGTAGCATTCTAAATAGTTTTCAGTACCTAACTTTTAAATTGAATGAGAAACGAATTCTGTGGGAAATTTTTGTAGACATCTTAAGCCCTAAGATGTCCATAAACAACATTCAAGACGTCTTGCTTACGTCTTTAGGGCGTCCTAAAGACATCATGAAGACGTCGTATGTTGCAAAACAAACCTGCCTAAAGACGTCTTTAGGACTAAGACATTCTGAAGACGTCTTCCACGATATGTCTTGATGACATCTTTAAATTTCTTTTCAATGAATGTATAAACCATTATTCACTTTTAGGCCTGGTTGTACCAAATAGTTCTCTATTTATCTTTAAGACTTTGTGTCTATGGTGTTGGAAAAATATTAATGTAATCAAATTCAAGAGACGAAATACAAAAATTACAGGACTTAAGTGAGGATAAACTACAGAAAAAAATTATAATATAAATATATCAAAACTGAATCAACCGCATCTAGCAATAATAGGATGTGAACAAGAATATAGTGATGAAGATGAAGAACTAATAAATTACAATAAATATTTTGATAAAGAAGACAAATTACATATGACCAAATTACGAAAATCAAAATATATGTATTCGAAAATATATGTATATTTCATTTGTTGAAACCAATAGAAAAACCTTTACAAAGTTGGCTAATAAAGACATGTTCGGAGTGGGACCGATGCAAAATAAAGGAGAACTTAATGTTAAATTTTGCTACAAGTGTTGTAAATATGGACGAACATTGAAAAATTGTACTTATCAACAAGTTTGTTCATTTTGCAGTGAAGACTCCACTGCAAAATGGAGCATGAGTACTGGAAATGTGAAAAAAAAAAAAAATGTCTAAACTGTAAAATATATACCTACCAGACTAATTATGACAAAAGCCATGATTGATTTTCTAATAATTATAATAAAGGCTAAAGAAAACATTAATTATTATGATGAAGAACAAAAACTACATTAAAATAATGTTTATGAATGCAAGATTAATAAAAAATAAAATGGACAAAATTGAAATTTCGATTAATGAAGAGAAAATAATACTAATATATAAAGATAAAAAAAGATGACAAAACGTCTCAGCAACTACATAAACCCAAAACTCCTCAAGAATTCTAAAATCCATGACACAGTTGAGAAGGAGGCCAGCGAATGTTTGAGAGACATTAATACTTCGAATCAGGTCAGTGTGGATGAAAAGTGGAAGCAAATATAAGCAGAGCTAGAAACAATAGCTCAAAAACATCTAAAAACCAAGAAAAAGTAACATCATAAATTCTAGATCTTATGCAAGAACGGAGAAAGAGCAAAGGTACCTAATAAAGATGAGTACAGGACAGTACAGAGAAAAATTAAGGAAGCAAAAGAAGAATACCAAGTAGCTCAATGTGAGGAAATAGAAGTACTAGAAAAAAAAAATTGACATCTTTCACATGCACAAAAAGATAAAGGAAATGGCTGGATGCACCAGAGTCAAGGCAGCTAGTAACATTATCAAGGATACTAATGGGCGTATAATAACTGACGTGGGAGACAAACTTAAAAGGTGAAAAGCATACCTGTGAGAACTCTTCGATGATGAATCAAACAAGTAACACTTAAAAATATTAAGATCATTGAAATAGTATATGTCTTGGGAAACTGGCAAACCCGGTGAAGCTGCTGGTCCTAATCAGATACCCATAGAGCTTTATGCTTATCAAACTCTTTGATGTTGATGTAATTGATATTCTCCTGGACCTTTTCAAACGCATTTGAAGGGGATTTTGCTTAAAGCCCCATCATTTTTGAGAGGGAGAAAAGATTGCCTTTTCTATCAAAGGACCCTGCACACCTCTTATGGGTTTTTGGTTTTCTGTCAAACTAAATGAAATTTTGATATGTGGTATATCTTGACTTACTGATAAAAAGTTCTCATGGGCCCAACCCGATACTATGAATAGTTTCCGAAATAGAGGTGGTTTAATGTCCAAGAAATGTACACATTTTATATGCATTCACATCTATCTGTCACCTATTAATAGGCCTGTCAGAGTGAATTTCACTGGTTGAAACTAGTTTTCTGACTGTTTCTGACTGTTTTCGACCAATCAAATTCGCTCTGACGGGTTTATGATTTTTGCCGAAACAGACCTATTATTAGGTGACAGGTAGATGTGAATACATATAAAATGTGTACATTTCTTGGACATTAAAGTACCTGTATCTCAAAAACTAATCATAAGATTGGTTCGGGCCCATGAGAACTTTTTATCAGGAAGTCAAGGTCTAACACATAGCAAAATTTCATTGAGTTTGACAGAAAACCAAAAACCCATAAGAGGTGTGCGGGGTCCTTTTAGGTACTGGTTCCGTCAGCGGGTTATTGCAATTAAAAACCACGACCCGTTATTTACAATTTATTTACAGACATATATACAATTTCGGTTTTATGATGAATGACGATGAAAATTATGTATATTTCTATTGAGTCTATTGTCCGGTTAACAGAAGTCTTTAACCCGAGATTCACTCCCGAAAATTATTTCGCGCACAGGCAAAGATCGGCAAATCGGCACTTCGCACTTTAACTTAGATTAAATGTTATTATTTACTATTTACAATATTAAACTTATTGAATTAGGGTTGGAGATATGATCGAGTTGTTTCAAAGTAATGAGGGTAGAGAAATTAGAGAGAGAAATTGCGTGCGATGTCCCTTGAGTGGACTAGGACTGACTGTGAGATAGATAATTCGAACAGCATTTATGATAAGGAAGAAAATCTTAAAAAATGGTTATCATCCACTTTTGTGCTCATACCCAAGAAACTAAATCCAAGAGAATACCATACTCAGATTACCGGACCATCGCACCTTGAAGTTGTTCTCAAAGATCATCCACAAAAGAATTCCCAGAAGACTGCTCGAGGAAGATTGGATTTCACGAAGGATTTGGCGCTTTTTGGGATCAACGTTCTTTTCCAGCGCTGTCTCGATATAAACCAAGGGGTGAATCCATAGTTACATCCATTTCGAGAAAGCTGTTGACAAAGTGAAACATGATAAGTTAGGTACATCTGCTATTCGTCAGTAAAACATTGACGCGGACGACGTTAGAATAATTACTAACCTATATTGGAGCCAATAAGCTAATACAAGGGTAGAAAATCAATCAACAGAAGAAATGGGGATTCTTCGTGGTGTGAGATAAGGCTGCATCCTATCGCCGCTGGACGCCGCTTCTCTTTAACCTATATAGCGAAGCTATTTTAGGGAAACCTTAGAAGATGAATTAGTGGAAATAAACTTGCGTGCATAGAAATCGGCCCACTGCTAACTTTTGACTTCAACTATTTTTTTGTGAAAACTACTCATGAGATTTTGGACAAAAGTCGTATGAGACCAACGTGGTCCAAAATTGGACGTTCTTTTGACGACACACTGGTCATTGTGGTCAGCTGGGGTGTTTCCAAACAGTGAAAATTCAAAGGATACTTAAGTCTACTTATGAATTCAATTTCACCTAAATTTCTGCTTCTCAATACTCAAGTTTTTCTGTCTGAATGTTTGTCTATTCCCGGCTTTTGGATTGTTTTATACGAAATATACCTTCAAACAGAGAAAAATCAAAAGCCTGGAATTAGAGTAGTCAAGTTATCGGAATTTAGGTCCAACTTCTGAAAAAATTATATACAAATGTTTATGAGTGGGAACATACAAATAATATGGCCCTAGATGACATACTAAAAGTCCCGTAGATTCTGACAATGGCAAGTTGCAAAAAAGTGGCTGCCAATAGCTTTGGTTGTTTATTTGCACCAATATGACACTTTCTACTCCAAATGTTTTTAATCCCTATATTTTTGTTAGTCTCATAGTATGATTTTTTGCTGCACCTGGTGCAGCTTGGTATAACTCTGGTGCAAATAAACAAACAAAATTCATGATCCCAATATTTTACGCAACAGGTCATAATAATTATGCCAAAAGTACCCACCTTTATCTACAACAGATGCAGAAACGTCATAATATGAGTCCTGAAAACTATGAAAAATTTGTTGATGAATGTTCACTATAAGATGAACCAACAACTTTTGGTCCGTTGC